TAAATTATTTTTAATTCTCTAAATTTTCTAATTTAATTCTAAATTAAGTGCTAATTTTAATGCCATTTTAATTATAATTTAATTCATAAATTATTCATATTAATAACTTCAGCAGAAATGTACAGCTTCTATTTTAGCAACTGGAGTCGAAATGAAAATGGGCTTCCTCAGGTGATAGACAATTCCCCCAACTTGGAATTGTAGCAGAGGCAGCAGCAGAAGGGACCACCTGTCAGATATATTGTAGAGGGGATTGCTGTTCAGGTCTTACTGGGTGGCCTCTGAGGTCCCTTCCCCTGATTCCATGAGCATTCATTTCCTATCTCTCACAATGCACTTACCATACAGTGCTTTGTCGTCAATACCTTCTCTAATGCCTCCCTGGGTTCTTGAAGGCTGGAGCAGTAGAGCACAAGGTCTAGACAAATTCTCCCAAGCTGGGAAAACCTTTGAGTGTAACTCTGGCAAAAGACTAGGAGTAAAAAGACTAGGAGGGAGGGAAACACCACTGAAAAGTTGGCCACCTTGGGGACGGATTTCTTTGGCCACAGCAACTCATAAAACTGAGCCTGCAAGAAGGGAAAGCCTACACCTATGAAAGCACTAATCTTCTAGAGTTCTTAAGTAAGGCATATTCCATTTTTCAATTATATCCTCCTTAAGGATGGGGACTTCCTTCTTTATACCTCACAACTCTTAAATACAAGGTCTGACTCAGGTGCTGAGGAATTGTTTGTTCAGCAGATTAATGGATGACTGTGGCAGAGAAATGTCAGTGCTATTAAGATTCCACATCAAAGAAGGCTGTTAAATTCCCTGGAGACAGATCATGTGCACTCATTAGCCTGCCCCCATCAAATACTGCAGCACTACGGAAAGGGCCCTAGATAGACTTGACTAGGTCTGAGCGAGTGAGTGGATTTTTTTTAAAAAGCACTTATCAAATGATTACTATGTTCTAGACACTGTGCTGAGCACTGGAGATATAAATACAAGCAAGCTAGATATTCCCTGCCCCCAAAGAACTTACGTTCTAATATAGAAAGACAACACATGGGGGAGGGGGGTGGCACATGGCATGGAGATGACCAGAAAGTACCCTGTTGGGCCTGTGACCAGAGCTAAACAAAGTGGAAAAATTAAAAGTTCACCAGGGCAAGCGAGTTAGTTTTTATTCCTAATTGTGTCACTAATGGCCTGCTTTGTCCTGGGCAAGTCACTTTCCCTGAAAATGATGGCAGAGGGCAGGGACAGACATAGATGGTCTTTAAAGTCCCACCCAACTCTAGTTCAGAGTTTTATAACTTTTACATAAGTTATATATGATATAAATATTTTCACAATTCTATATGTAAATGGAATTTGATAATTCTAATGCCTCTTCCAGCTATGATATCCTTTATTCTAAGGTTCCTTTTGGTTCATTGTGTGGTTTCTGAGTTGGCTCTGTGGCTATGTCCCAATAAAGATAAGAATGTGGAGGAAATCTTGTCCAGTTATTCATTTTAACTACAGAAAGTGAGACTCATGGGGGGGAGGGGGAACAAGACCAGGAGGGTGGAAGGAGGAGAGGGAGGAGAGGGTATTCTGAAGGCTTGCCCCCAGGGAGATTTCACAAAAGCCCAACCATTGATGCCTTGCCAACAAGAAGGAAATAGTGGGCTGCAGATGTGTTATATTTGAGTAAATGTACATCAACCTCCTTCTAAACATTACAGCTCTCTCAAGGACAGGATCTGTATGTCAGCTTCCTCTGGAATTGGAGATGTTAGATTGCTACTGCCTTAAGGCATGTGAATCCCTAGTATCTTAAGATCCCAAATTGTGGATATCCCCTTTTTTTTCTGGCTAGGTTTGATGTGTTTTATTATTCTTATTTTTTCCCATTCAGTAACTCTTAGCAGCTAAAAATAGAAGAGCTCATTATCTTTCTACATCCACACATTAGGTCCCCAGAACTGAGGGCTGTTGGCTATGCAAGCCTCCTTGTCTATGTTAATAGCAAGCTGCTCTGAACATATCTCGGGCATCCAATCATCCTATTTAACTTCAGTGTTTGCTCTCTGGAATTACAGGGAGGAGGGATGGGAGATGACAAAGTAGAAGCAGCTTTTATACACTATGTGCATTTTAATGTGGATCAAGATCCTTAGAATCCTAGTTAAAGTCTTTGGGGGGGGGGACTGGGATGGGAATCTTAAAGACCTTCTGGAAGTGGCCAAGTCTTCCTTTTTATGGATGAAGGGACTAAGTCCCAGAGAAGCAATGTGGGGCAGGTAATAAACAGCACAGCTAGTATTTGACTCCCAGGTCGTCAAACTCCACACCTGATGTTCTTTTCCTACACCATGAAGCCTCTCCAGACTGCTGGAGCTGAAAGAATATTACCAATTATTGATCATTTAGTTCATTATATTTATTTATTTTGGGGAGGCAGTCAGGGTTAAGTGACTTGCCCAGGGCCACACCGCTAGTATAAAATGTCCGAGGCCAGATTTTAACTCAGGTCCTCCTGATTCCAGGGCCGGTGCCAGGTACCACCTAGCTGTCCCCATTTAGTTCATTTTAAAGAAGAGGAAACTGGGGCCTAAAGAAAGGAAGTAATTTGCCCAAGGTCACACAGCTATCATCCTAAAGCTCAGCTTTGATCAAATTTAGATTTAACATTATAATTTTTTTTCTATTAATTTTTATTTTTCCACTTTGTTTAGCTCTGGTCACAGAGCTATTAATTAGTTTCTATTAATTCATTATCTATTAATTAGTTATCCACTAGTTATAATTAAATATTTATTTATTAATTAGTTAATAGTTATTCTATTAATTAGTGGAATGGGCAGCCTCAGGAGGCAGTGGCTTCCCCTAGAGGTCTTAAAGCAAAGGTTGGATGGCCACTTGTCAGATGTGTTATAGAAAAAAATGTTTTTTTTTCCAAGTATATATTTCAGCAGGTTGCCTTCCAACCCTGAAGTTCTGTGATTCTATGAATCAAATTCAAGGTAGGAACACCAATTAGGAAACTATTACTTTCAGGAAATAGCCCAGAATAGCCCATACAAAGGGTTCCAATTCAGATCTTTGTCTTTTTTTTTTTCAATCAAAGAATCTAATAGCTTGAAAGGACCTCAGAGAACATCTAATCCCATCCTTCCCTGAATAGGAATCCCCTCTACAATATTAAGCTTCTGCCTAAAGTCCTCAACGATGAGGTACTTAAATGAAGGAATGAATGATGGAAGGATGAAGGAATAAATGAATGAATGAATACTACTTATGGTGGAGATAGTCCAGCTGGTGAGAGGCTATCTCTACATGTAATGCTCCTAATGTAGTGTCACCTAGCAATCAATCACATGGAAAATGTCCCAAGAAATCAGGGCAAAACATTTCCTACTGGATAGCATGGGTTTCCCCAGAGGTAGCAAGCAGCTACAGAGAATTTTTGCAGCTGGTGACAAATCTCCCACAATCATTAGATGTCACAAAACCCAAACAGACACACGAGAGAAAGAAGGTTAATGCCTGCAGCACAACTTCCAATTATAGGCATATCCCATCAGTAATCGTGTCACTGCCCTCTGGGCAGACCTTGCTCTGGTAAAGACAAGTGGGGTTTCTTGCTGATGAAAATTATCTTTTGACCCAGAACCAGGGATTCAATTATTCAATTCAACAAACATGGATTACATGCCTACTATGTGCCTGGCGTTGTGCTTCGTGTTGGGGAGAAGGAGGTTAGAGCAGATGTACACAACTAAGTGTGATAAAAGCTATCTATAAGTGCAGAGTGGAGAACTATACAAAGCAATCTAGGAAAGTGAGGAAAGCCTTGTTGTCTGGGGTGGGGTCAGGGAGGAGGAGCTGGTTCTTGAAAAGCACTTTGAAGAAAGAGAAGGATTTCATCAGACAGAAATTGAGTTCAAGTTAACAAATATTTATTAAGCACCTATTTTCCAGTCTCTGTACTAGGTGCTAGAAATACAGAAACAAAGATATACCCAGGTACTTACATACAAAATATATACAAAGTAATTTGGGGAGAGGGGCTCTGGATGGGGTGGGGAGGGGTTAGCATTAACAACTGGAAGGAAAAAGGAAAGACCTTCAGTAAAAGTTGTAGTGGAACAATTAGAACAGTTTGCCTGGAATGTATCATACATAATGATGAGGGGAAGGGAGTAGGGAGAAGGAATATGAACTAAATCTGGAAAGATAGACTGTAGCTAAACTGAAAAGGGTTTTAAATGCCAAATAGAGAAGTCTTTATTTTATCCTAGAGGCAACAGGAAGCCACTGATGCTTCATGAGCAGATGAGCTACATGGTCAGTCCACAGGAATGTCACTTCGGCAACTATGGGAAGTATAATTGGAAAGGGGAAAGACTGGAGGCGGAAAAACCATTGAGGAAGTTAGTTGAGAGGGGATGGATCTGAATAGAGGTGGTAGTGATCTAAGTGGAGAGAAAAGGATAGGTAGGTTTGTAAAGGTGAGGAATAGAGAGTATTTCTGGCATGGGGATAGCTTGAGTGAATGTACAAATAGTGGGAGATGATAGAACAAGATCAGGAAACATTCATGAAGAAGGTTACATCAGAACCACACTGTGGAGGGCCTTAAAAGGCAGGCTGAGGAAAACTTATAATCTTTTCCAATAGACTATCACCAGTAAAAGGGTTTTTGGGGGTTTTTTTAGGCAATTGGGATTAACTGACTTGCCCAGGGTCACACAGCTAGTAAGTGTCAAATGTTTGGTCTGAGGCCAAATTTGAACTCAGATCCTCCTGACTTTAGGGTGAGTGCTCTATCTACTGCGCCACCTAGCTGCCCCCTTCAGTAAAGGTTTTTGAGCAAAAAGAATGACATGGTGAGGCCAATGTATTAAGACCATTTTGGCAAATGTGAAGATGGTCTGGGGAAGGGGGCATGGAGGGAAGGAGACTCATTAGAGGGATATTATAAGAGTTCACAGAAAAAGTTGTGAAATCCCAAATTAAGATCAGATAGATTTTCTGCTGCCTTATTATATCCTCACTATGTATACATTCATTTTTTTTCTTGACAGATTTTTTTCCCTAAATCCCTGAGTGCATCTGTACGTGTTGCTATTATATGTCTTTATTTTCTTCACTAGTACAGTAAAAAGAACCCTGGATTTAAAGTTAAAGGACCTGGGTTTGAATCCCAACTCTACAACTTGCTACCTGAATGACTGTGGGCAAATCACTTAACCTGGGCCTTAGAGCTCTGCTCCATATAAAACAAGGGGGTTGGATTAGACAACTTCTAAGGTTCTTCCAGATCTAAATTCCATTGTCCTACATTTGAGAGGCCATATGAATACTATAGGTTAGAGGGAGAGGGGCAGAGAAAAGGAGAGAAGAGAGGAGAGAGGAGAGAGGGCAAGAAGCGCTAGACTAGGTGTTAGAAAACCCACATTCAAATCTTGCTTTTGCTACTTATGACATGTGACTGTGGCCAAGTCACTTAGAATCACAAAATCTCAAAACTAGAAGACACCTCAGAAGACATCTAGTCCCAATCTTGTCTGAATCATAAATCCCCTCAGCAACATTTCCAACAGAATCTGCATGAAGACTTCTAGTTAGAGGGAACTCAATACCTTCTGATACAGTCTACTCCATTTATTTCATGTGTCTGAGCCTTAATTTCCTTATTTAAAAATATAAGGAAAGCGACCATTCCCTTTTAGCCTCATAGGGCTGGTGTGCAGCCAAAAGAGACACTGAATATGAAAGTACTTAGTGAAGTGATCAATCTTGACACTTATACATTTGTGGCTGAAATCAGCTGAGTAGGCAGGCTAATGTCCCCAGGTTTAGAGATGGTCCAGGTCAATCTCCTCATTTTTAAAAAACCTACATCTTTATTTTCTTTTTTGTCCTTTAGTATTAATTTTGAAGATGTGGATTTTAAATTATTTTTATATTTTTTGTTTATATCACCTTTATTTTTAAATATATCCCTCTACCTATCACAACCCTGAAGCTAGTGGGTCATTCTTTGTAGTAGATTAAAATAGAAAAAAAAATAATTCTGTAAAATCTGTAAAATCAACACATCAACCACTTCTGACTTGGTATATGATATTCCTCAATCAATCAATAAATAAGCACCTAGCTTGAAACCTAAGTCCCATTCTAGGTGCTAGAGGCACAAAAATAAACTGATACTCCCACAGAGCTTACATGCAAATGGGTAGTTAGTTAATTCCCATAGTCCCCCACGTCTACAAAGAAGAGAGGGAGGTATATTTTCTCGATCCTTCTCTGAAGCCAGCCCTCAAATATCTCATATTATAAATAAGGAAACTAAGACCCATGACTTGTCTAAGCTCAGGTAAGTAATAATTAACTAAATAATTTTAATTTAAGCTCATAAAAGTAATATATAGTAGAGTCAGGAATAGAACCCAGGTCCACTGACTCCCACATCCAAGGCTATCCCCATGACGCTAGTTCAATTGTACACATTTCCTTTCCTGTCTCATTATCTATTGACTAAAACACTTCTATAATAATAATAGTTCTAACTCCCATTTCTATAATTCACAGAAGACTTTATGTACAACAATCTTTTCAGGCAGGTAGTATAATTATGAAGATCTCCATTTTATAAATTAAGAAACTGAGGTCCAAAATGTGCTCTATTACATTCCACATCATGTCATACTTATTTATCCCTCACCACCCAAAAACAAACAAACAAACAAACAAACAAAAACCCAAAACCTTTCCCACCTGCACATCTTGGTTCTCTCTACCAGCAAACCCTCCTCTTCCTTAGCTGCTCTTATTTGTGTACCTCTCACAAGAACAAAAAATCCTTTGAGAACAAGGAGGGTGCCATTTTTTTTCCCCTTTCTTCTCCCTCAGTACCAAGTACAGTGCCTTACATATCAGGTGCTAAGATAAATGGTTGTTGAATGAAACTGAAATAACTTGTTCAAGGTGTACAGCTAGTAAATGGCAGAGCTAGAATTCAACCCATATCTTCTAACTCCAAGTCAGGATTCTTTAATAAGCACCACTAAATATTTACTCATGAATTATTTATAAAGCAAAAACAACCAAAAAAAACAAAAACAAAAACAAAAAATCTCCCAATACTCCAACAGCCCTGTGAGACAACCACAGTGCTTCAGTGCCCCTGGAGGCTTGACCAGCTTCTTTTTTGAAAAAATCACACACACATACATACACACACACACACACACACACACACACACACACACACACACAGGTCTCCCTTTACTGCCAGACTTTAATCTTCCCACTCCAGTCACATGTTGCTAGAACAGAGGAAAGAAGTGGGTGGAACGTAGTGCCAACACATGCATGACTATGTGCAGGAAAAGTACAAATGATCTTTGGGTTATGATAATTGTAGAAAAAGACATTGCCGTCAGCGCTGCCAGTCACTAAAATGCCCCCGTCCGGAGAGCACTCACAGGCCACAGCATAGCCTTCTACCTGCATGGTGGGAAAGAAAAGACAATGTAAGCTGACAAGGAATACACTGAAATATAGGCGAGAAGCAGCACAGTTGGATGCAAAATACTAATTTTTATAATGTTCATAATAGAATACTAACAGTTCTATGATACTAATTTCATAATACTAATAACAGCATTTATGTAAGGCTTTAAGGTTTGCAAAGTGCATTATAAACACCACAATTTATTTTATCCTCAACAACAACTCTGGGAAGTTAAGTGTTAACACTATCCCTGTTTTATAGATGAGGAAACTGAGGCTAAGTGGCATGCCCAAGGTTAAACTGCTAGTATCTTGGGTCACATTTGAACTCAGATCTTCTTGACTCCAGGAGCAGCACTCTATCCACTGTGGCAGAAGACCTGAATTCAAGCTCAGTTGTCTATTATTGTCAGATCTGACTCTCACTATCTCTGAGATCTAAGATGAGTCCCTTAATCCCTCTGGGCCTCAGTTTCCTCGCTGGTAAAATGAATATTGACCGACAATTCACATTGTTGTAAGGAAAAGTGCTTTGTGAACCTTAAAGTTCTGTAGAACGTGAATTAGCAGCAGCAGCAGCAGCAGTAGCAGCAGCAACACCATACATGGAATAGCCACCTTTCAGACCAATGCCATTTAAAAAAATAAATTTACTGATGCCGTTCATCATTTTTAAAAAATATTTCTCAATGTACTCACCTTCACTGAATTCTCTCTTATAACATGATCAATATAATTTTACAGCAACACCATTAATACATTAAATCCAAACCCTATTTAACATCTAAAAATTCCTTCATAACTTTATTCAGTCAATTGCCTGATATGTGAATTGTACGTTTGCTGATGGTCAAAATTAGGACTTGAGCCCCCGTGGTATTAACTCCCCTAAGTACCAGTCTGCTTGCCATCCCATTTATAATACTGTTCAGTGGAATAAACTGTCCCCTATAACATTGTATTTACTTGAGATATGCCTGACAGGTAGGCACCATATCATGGTAGAAAGAGTAACAAATTTTTAACACACATGACTTGGATTTAAGCTCTGGTTCTGCCACTGGACAAGACCTCCATAAAAACTACAGTTTCCTAATCTGTAAAATGGGGATAGTAATATTATTAGCATCATAGAACAGATGGGACCTTAGAGATTATGTATTCCTGAATTGATTATTACCTTCATTGCATTATGGTCTATAAAGGATATGTTCACTATTTCTGCCTTTTTACATTTATTTGCAATATGTCTATGCCCTAACACATGGCCAATTTTTATAAAAGTTCCATGTGGTGCTGAGGGATGTGTATATTATTTAGCAATCCCATTTAGAAGATGCTATAAGTCTTTTTGCTCTAGTTTCTCCCACAATTCATTCAATTCTATATTTTCCCTTTTGTTTATCTTTCTGTTAGATTAGCCTAAAACTTAGAAAGGGACACTAAAATCTCCTGACACTCTTATTTTACTGTCTCAGTTTTCTTGTAATTCACTGTTACCTAAATCACTCCAGAGATCTGGTGTCCTACCAACTGAATTACCAAAGGATTATTTTATAGACCTAGAAAAAAATAACAAAATTCATCTGGAAATTTAATCTTAAGGGAAATAATGAAAAATGAAAAAATAATGAAAAAATGTGGGAAGGCAGGAGACCTAGCAGCATCATATCTCAAACTATATTACACAACAGTGGTCAGCTAAACTATATGATATTGTTTTTAAAAATGGAAAAGTTGATCAGTATAACAAACTAGGGATTCGAATCCCAGAAGCAATTGAATATCCTGGCATAATGTTCAATAATAAAAACAAGCACACCAGCTTCCATGGTAAAGGTTCACTATTCAACAAAAGCTGTTTGGAAAACTGAAAAGCAGTCCAGCAGAAATTAGATTTACACCAAAATATCATACTATGTACCCCAATGAACTCTAGAAATATACAAGATTATTGCATTAAGAAATTAGAAGAGAAAGAGATACCCCATTCACAGATATGGATAGAAGAATCATTTTTGACAAACAAGAGATGAAATAGAGCACAAAAGGTAAAATGGATAATTTTGACTGTAAAATTGATGTTCTTCCACCAAGTCAATGCAGTTTGAATTATAAGGGAAATAGTAAAAAAATAATAATAATTTCTACAGCAAATTTCTCTGAAAAAGGTCTAATATCCTACATGCACACATGAATATGTAAATACATAAGAACAGGAATAATCTATCCCCTAACAGGTAAATGCTAAAGGATATGAACACACAAAAGAAGAAAAATAGACTATCAAAAGTCATATGAAAAAATGTTCCAAATCACTAAGAGGAGAAATGCAAACTAAAACAACTCTAAAATTCTTCCTTAACAGATTAACAATGATGACCAAAAAAGGAAAATGACAACCATTGGAGGGAACATGGGAAGACAGGCATATTTAGAGGAGCTGATCTATAAATGGTATCTCCTCTTTTATGACCTATGCCTTCAGAGCTCATTGTGGTATATGGCATAGAATTTTGGTATAAACCTAATTTCCAATGCACTTCTGGTAGAGCTAGGAAGTGGTTCAACCATTCTGAAAAGCAATTTGGAACTATACCCCAAAAGTCACTAATTCATTGCCTCAATGATACCACTAGTAGGCAAACTGTAAGATTAATATAGTATTTTAAGGTTTGCAAAGTGCTTTACACATACGTTTGTATGTATGTATGCATATGTATGTCACCTCATTGTGTTCTCACAACAGCCCTGTGAGGTAGTTACTATTATCATACCCATTTTACAGATAAGGAAACTGAGGCTGACAGAGGTTAACTGACTTGGCCTGGCATCACAGAAGTAGTGTTTGGGGTAGGATTCAAAACGCAGGTCTTCCTGACTCTGGGCCCAGCATTCTCATCTACTAAGTCACCAAAGAAAAGAAAGAAAGGAACCACATGAACAAAAATATTTATAGCAGCACCTTCTGTTACAGCAAAGAACCAGAAACAAAGTGGGTGCCCATCAATTAAGAAATAACTGGACAAATTATGGCTTCTGAATATAATGGAATATTACTGTGCCAAAAGAAATGACAAAAGAGATAGATTGGGAAATCAGGAAAATGTGTATAGACAGAGTGAGGTGAGGAGAATTAAGAGATCAATTTCTGCAATGAATACAACACTGTAAAGATTTAAGAACCTGGATCACTGTATGACCAGTCAGGACTGCAAAAGCCTTATTAAACCGTTTCCTACTTCTTGGCAGGGATGGCTGGCCTTGAGGTGCTAAGTGAGTCATACGCTTTCAGACACAACCAATGAATGAATTTGTTTTGCTTGACTATACTTAATTATTACAAGAGAAGGCTTTTATTTCTGGCAAGGGAAAAGGAAGAGTTGTGAGAAGTGGTAAGGCGTGGTAATAGTGATACAAAAATAAAAATAAAAGAGTGTCAAAGAGACATTTAGAAAACATACAGAGGAGAGCAGGATGATGTTCAAAGGGGACACAGAAAGCAGGGCAGTGGTGTTACTACTGTGTTAAATCTGACATAGACTTTTAAAAATAACTATACATAACAGATATTCAGTTTTCCATAATTCTCTCTTTCTGTTCTTTGTATTGTATGTGGAAATGTTCATGTTTGCTGATGTTGGTCAATTTTATAATTTTTTAAAAAGAAAATTTGAGAAAAGAAAACCCATAATTAAAGTCAGTGGCGTGCAAGCTCCAATATAAGTCATCATAATTAAGATGAATTATGAAATGTAAGTCCTTTGGGAAAATGGTTCTGATGGTTCACTGAGGAGAATAAAGGGAGAAATTAATAAATACCTTGTGTCCTTCATAACGTTTCCTTTTATTTATCCGGTATGGCCTCAGTGCTGAAAACAATGCCATATAGTTTCCATTTGTCTGGGCCACAAAAAGAGATTCCTTTGGGTGCAGGGTGAGGCTAGGACAGGTAAACCGCTCCTAAAAATTCACAGGGAATAGGAATAAAGAAAAGTGTTTTATACTATTTGCAGATCACACAATTCAGCACATCCTAAGGTAATGCCTTACAGAGCTCTCATGTGATTCCCGTGACTCCTATTTCTGCAATTAGACTGTGAGCTCCCTAAAGTCAAGGGCCAGGTCCCCTTTCTGTCTGTCTGTCTGTCTGTCTCCCATAATACTAAGCACAGGGGTAGGCAAACGGCAGGTACTTAACAAATATCTCCTTAAGCAACATCCAACACTAAGAGGGCTGAGTTCAAGATTCAGCTGAGCCTTGTAAGCGACCTTGGACACTATCACACAACCTCCCTCCGGCCCTCAGCCTCCTCATATGTAAATGAAGAGAATAATACTTGCACAGCCAACCTCGGGGTGAGAATGACTTCTTAAATCTTATGTGTTATCATTATAACCCGTGAACAAAGCATTTTACAACTTACACGGCTCACCCACCATCTCACTTAATAAGCATATCAAGCAGTGAGTATGGGATAATAAACATTATTCCCATCTTAACGATGAAGAAACTGAGGTTCAATGTGGGGACAGACATACAGCTATCAGAGGCTGATTTCAAACCCAATTCTTCTATGTGTCCACTGCTCCCTTCCCACTACATTCTATCCTTCAGGCCACTTCAGAGGGGTTGCCGTGGGGATGTAATAGAGGAGATTCACACTTCAGACTGGAGTTGGACTAGATGACCTCTGAGATGTCTTCTGGCTCTAAGATCCTATGGGAGCCAGTCTACCAGCTAGCAAAAAGCAAAACGAAGACATGAACCTGAGTCTCCTGATTCCAAGGCCAGTCCTCTGAGAGAAATGATTATTTCTCTCTTGTATTAATAACTAATTATTGAATCTGGACCAAGGTTTTTCCCCTTTTCTAATTCCTCATCCAGAAATCAGTGTGGGAAATCTTTCTCAAAGATTTACCCAGACCAAAGACCTAATCAAAAACAGTTTAAAAGAATTCTAAGTTTGGGCTAATGGGCAGATTCTTGCTCATTATGTTTATTCTGACAGGGCTTGGAAAATGTGGATTATCCCATTTGTTGGATAGGTGATATGGAAATTGATAAGTTTCTTTGACTAAGACTTGAGTGATACAAGTTACACACCTCAAGAAAGACCCTCACTGGAATAAAACCCATCTTTCACTATAATACTCATTTTCTCATTAATTGTTAACCAGTCAGAGTTGATTGCTACTCTCAGGAACACCTGTTCTTCCAAAGGCATATAAACTGTGAGCCTACCGCCATGAGGAGTCTTTGGCATTCGAGTGTGCCACTGACTTCTTTTATTAATAACATGCTAACCTTATTAATAAAAGGATTAAATTACCCCAAAATGACATCTCTTGAAGCTTTTTAAACATCAAACCTCTTTCTAGCATACTACGCTGGCAAAGGGTTGCTTCAGCTGTACACAGTTGCAAAAGTTTAAAAGTTTGAGGATGTGATTTCCTTACATGTCAGGCCTCTATGACTACAGAAGTACTTAAAGCAAGTGTGAAGAATAGAAGAGATGAATTTCTCTCTGGCAAGTCTAGATGAGGGGAAGCAGCAGGGTACACTGAATCAGGAATCAAGAAACTCATACTATAGTCCTGCACCTATACCAACTCAGGATATGATTCTGGGCAAGCCATCTGTACTCTTCTGGGATGGAGTTTACTTCTTAGCAGAATGAAGACATTAGATTAGATAGACTAAAATTCCTTCTAAACCTGAAGTTCTATTTTCTGTGATCCCTTCTGACAAAGAACCTGGATTTATAACCTGAACTTACTCACTATCCTCTGCCACTCACTAGGTAGCTGATGTTTGAACTCTCTAGACCTCAGTGAGCACATCTGAAGGGTGAGGGGGCTGGGCTAGACCATCTCTAAGGTTCCTGCTAGCTCTAAACCCATGATCCTAGCTCTGCCATGATTCTGCTTCCTTCCTGCTCTAACATTCTAAGACTTTGTTAGTCAGAGAAGACAGCAATCAGCAGTATACAATTTCCCAATTGCTCGCACTATTGGTGAAATACTTCGGAAACAAGGCTGAATGATACTGCCATTTATAGTCACTAAATCATTGAAAATGCTTTTTAAAACCACTCTTTCTATTGTATGTCATTTCACTGACACAAATAGAACGTCTCAAAGTCCTATATTAAGTCAGCACATAAGCACAGCTTCATACTTCACTGAGAAGAAGTTAATGGACCACCAATCACAAATGTGTCTGCTCCCAGGATCAGAGATTTAACGCAGGAAGTGACATTGGAGGTCAGTGAGTCTGGTCCCTTCATTTGAAAGATGAAGAAACTGAGATCTAGACAGGAAAAATGACTTGCTAAGGGTTATACAACTAGTAAGTGTCTGAGGCAGGATTCAAAGCCAGGTCTTTCTAACTTCAGGTCTAGCACTCCTCTCTGCCCTGCCACCAACATATCTACTCTGCTACACTGTTCTATCCACTCTGTCACTGTCCTACCCACTCTTCCACATTGTCCTATCTACTCTACCACTGTCCCCATCTACTCTGCTACCATGTTATCTATTCTGCCACTACCTATCCACTCTGCTACACTCTCCTATCCATTCTGCTGCAATGACTTGAGAAGACAACTACTATTAAAAAGTATTTCCTTATCATGCAAAGACTTACATGAACTGGTGAAAAGCAAGCAGAGCCAAGAAAACAATACACAATGACCACAACAACATAAAGAGAAGCACAAAACAACCGAAAATGAATGCTGCAAATTACAAAAAACAAACTTGGCCCTAAAGAAATGATATGGGAAGACACCTCCCCTGTACTTTGCACAGATATGGGGGAAGGAAAAGGGATAGGGAAGGTTGAGGTACATGAGTGGGGAACATTACATATAAGATCAGTTTTTGGTTTTTTTTTTTGATGTACTGATCAGTTTTGCTGATTTTCTTGTCCTTTTTTTAAAAAAAAATAATTATGTTATAAAATTTTAAAATAGTTATTCATTGTAGCTCTTTAGGAGGGGGGAAGGGAGGGCATACAAGAGATGTTAAAACAAAATATATCAATAACAGTAACAGCCACATTGTACGATGACTGACTTTGATAGACTTGGCTCTCCTCAGCAATGCAAGGATCTAAGACAACTCCAAAAGACTCACGATGGAAAATACCATCACATCCAGAGGAAGAACTATGGAGTCTGAATGCAGATGGAAGCATACTATTTGCTCTCCTTTTCCTTTCTTTTTTTGTTTTATTGCTTCATTCCCATGGTTCCTCCCATTAGTTCTAATTGTTCTTTATATCATGACTAATGGGAAAATATGCTTAATGTGAATGTATAAGTAGAGCCTACATCAGATTGCACACTGCCGTCTTGGCAAGGGTAGTAGAGGGGGAGAAAATTTTAAACTCAAAATCTTATGGAAGTGAATGTTAAAAACTAAAAATAAATAAATTAAATTATGTGTGTGTGTGTGTGTGTATAATATAAATTAAAATATATATCAATAAAAATCTATTTTGAAAGTATTTGCCTGATTTGTTCCTTATACCCAAAAGTCCCTCCATTTTTACCTTTTGATATCCTACCTATCCCTCAAAGTCCAACCTAAATACCATCTTGTCCATGATGCTTTCCCTGATCATTCCCTCTCCTAGCTCAAAGTGAGCTCTCCCTCAACTAATCTCACAGTATTTTGTCACTCCTCTTATCACATCTAATTATCATAATCTAATTTTCATTATACTTAGCTCATTTCCACAACTGGCCTGGGAGTTCCTTGAGCAAAGGAACAAATCTTATTTATCCTAAAATCACAGCCTAACATTAATACAGGGCACCAAACACAATAGGGGTTTAATAAACATTTATTTTATGAATAAACTCATAGAGATCAAGTTATTGAAAAGCTCATTCTCATTCTTAGCTTGCATCCACTCATCAAACACTTTAATAGACTCTACAGTGTGCAATGCACTATATTCCATGCAAGGAAGGCACAAAATTTAGATAAAGGGTCCCCAACCTCAAAGCCTAGTAGCATGATATGATGCACACAAAAAACAATGACACATAAGAAATGCACCTAAGGTACCAAGTGCTATATGAGACCTGAGAAGAAAGTTTGTTACCGAAGGGGAGATTTGGGAAGGGGATAACATTTGAATTGGGCTTCAGGGGATTGAAAAGAATTCCAGAGACAAAGGGTAAGATTCCAAGTGCAAGAATCCATGCAAAACAAAATGCAGAGTCAGGAGAGCCCAGGTCATGTTTGGGAGAATCAAACTCTCCAAGATGAAAAGTGGCCATGTGACTTACATGAAAGATCTGATTAGAGACCTTGGCGGCACTATGGAAGTCCCACGCAATGATGGTGCGATCGGCAGAATCCCGACTTACAGAGTCTGTGCTACTCAGGAACTCGTTTCCACCACGAAGAAAGAGGATATCTAAGGTTTGCTGGACTGAAGCTTTGTAGACTTTGATTACCTGTCAAACAACACACACAAATTACATACAGGTTTTCAGAAAGAGGAGAGGATCCTGGACAGAAATTCCACTACCCAGATGAGGGAGCATCTGCTTAGTGTGCTGGCAATCTCCCTCCACATTCTAAGTATAACAGAATCGTATTCTCGTGTGGCATCTTGAATGTGTTCATCCTTCATCCTCCACATCTTGCCAAGATCTGTCAATTTTCCTTCCAAAACACCTCTTGTATCAGTCTCCTCCTTACCATCTCCACTATCACCGTCCTGGCTCAGAGCCCCATCACCTCTTATTTGGGCTATACCAACTACATCTTAACAGGTGCTTACTTCCATTCCATATACCCTCTAATCCTTCCTTCATATTCATACAACTTAATCTCTACTTTTTTCATTTATAGTGACCAATCCCCATACTTCATAGAATATTCATGTGATTTCTATACTTTTATTCAGTTAGAAAATTTCATTTATTTAGAAATTTTACCTCTACGTGTTCATACATGCTGCATGTTGGCTTCAATGAGTTAGTCTGTAAAAATCCCTTCCAACATTGAGACTTTATGAAATATTACCGATGATAAGCAGAATTGGCTTCCATATTAGCTGGATGATAAAAATTTGCCATTCATTATTAGAAAATACTTCAATGATTTTTAAAGATCTCTTTGAATGCTGAGATATCTAACTTTGACACATCTCTTATACGTCCTCTTCTTTCTTCTGATGCTACACTATGCTGGCTCAAGAACTTATCAAGGTTTACAATACAGAGCACTTTGGACATTTTTTTTCTCCTCACAAGACAAAACTAGAGCATTGCAATAGCCCGTTGGTTGGTCTCCCTGCCTCAAGTCTTTTCCCCACACAGTCTGTCTTCCACTCAGCTATCAAACTGATCTTCCTACATAAAGTACAGGTCACACGCAACCCACACAATCAACGCCAGTGGCTCCCTGTTGCCTCCTGGATCAAATATAAAATCTTCTCTTTGGTTTTTAAAAGTCCTTTCATAACCTGGCCTCCTCCTATCCTTCCAGTCTTAGACTTTAATTCTCTCCTCATACTCTGTGATCAGTGACATTGGTCTCCTTTCTGTTCCTCAAACAGCACTCACACAACACTCCGTCTCCCAATGCTGTGCATTTTTACGGACCGTCCCCCATGCCTGGAATTCTTTCTTTCTTTATCTTCAACTTCTGCATTCCCCGGCTGCTTCCTTTAGCTAAAGATTCACTTTTCACAAGAAGTTTGTCCAAACACTCCTTAGTCTCAGTGCCTTCCCTCTAAAATTATTTCCAGTTTATCCTCTATGTATCTCATTTACACATAGTTGTTGGCGTGTTGACTCTCCCATTAGACCGTGAGCTCCTTGGGGACTGTCTTTTGTCTCTTTTGGCATTGTAGCACATTGCCTAGCACACAGTAAACACATCATAAATGTTTATTGATTTGTTGACATTCTGTGATTCTAGATTTCCATACACCTAAAAAAAAATGGCAGCTCATTTTGTGGCAGCAAAGAACTAGAAACAAAGTAAATGTTCATCAAATGAAAATGGCTAAACAAATTGTAGTGCACAAGATAACTAAATATTACTGTAAGAAATGATAAATGTGGGGGCAGCCAGGTGGCGCAGTGGAGAGAGCACCGGCCCTGGAGTCAGGAGGACCTGATTTCAAATCCAGCCTCAGACACATGATACTTCCTAGCGGTGTGACTCCAGGCAAGTCACCTACCCTCAACTGCCTCACTAAAATAAATAAACGAATAAATGTGAAGAATGTAACAGATGGGAAGGCTCAGCTAAACTAATGCAAAATAAAATGATGAAAACCAAGAAAATTATATTCACAATGATTACATAAATGTAATGAATAACAACTGAAAAACAAACAAAACTCAATGCTATGAAATTATAATGACCAAGTGTGGCTTCAAACACAAGATATGAAATGTGCTCCACTTTCTTTGCAGAGGTGAGAGACTATGAGAGTTAAACACTTTATATAATGTTGGACTTGGATGATATATGGATTAGTTTTGGAAAATTATTGCTACTTTCTCATTTTTATTCTTTGTTATAAGGAATGGCTTTCCTGGAAGGGCAGGGGGAAGGGGTACTAATATGCTGGGAAATGTAGGTAATGGAAAAACAAAAGATATCTATAAAACATTTTTTAAAAGTAATGATCTTTTAGCAAATAAAGGATATTTGGTATATTGCCTTCAGAAAGCAAAGATTTCTGAATGAACAATGAGAACCACATTTAAAATTTAATAGTAATAAAAGCAAGTAAACAAAAAACAATTTTTGTTTCTTGTTTCTATTCCCACATGGAATCAATATATGGCAAATCTCACTAGGTACCAATAGGCTGCAGAACTAGCTGTAGCAAGGTTTATAATACAGAGCATTTGTTTGGCATTTTTTTTTCTCCTCACAAGATAAAATCCCAGGCAGAGGTGCCTGCCAGCTCCCTCTTTACACAATTCTATGACTCTTCCCATTTGCTAATTTAATTTGGCTGTTAGCAAACATCCTGACAGGAAGGGCATTGGAACTATTCTGTTATTGAGGTGCTGATGGCAAACTTCTCAGGGGGATGGAATCAGAGGAGCTGAGTTAAGTGAATTATGGGAAGAGCAGTGCTCTTTGGAGGTGGAATCATTCACCTGGAATTTACTATTTCTGCATCATTCTATGGAAATCAATAATATGGACATCATAAGAATAGTTTACCATTTAGCTGTTTTTACTTTAAAGGTGAGGTCTTTGTCCATTGTCCAAGCAGAGGACATACTGCTTTGGGATTTTTAATTTTTTAGACTCCCTTTAGCATGCTGGTGAAGCTTATGGACTCCTCAGAATAACGCTTTTAAATGCATAAAACAAATACACAGGATTGCAAAAGAAACTAATGAAATACCACTTTCGGGGCAGCTAGGTGGTACAGTGGATGGAGCACCAGCCCTGGAGTCAGGAGGACCTGAGTTCAAATCTGGCATCAGACACTTGACATTAGCTGTGTGACCCTAGGCAAGTCACTTAACCCCAATTGCCTCACCAGAAAAAAAAAAGAAAAAAAGAAATAACACTTTCATTTTTATTTGTTAAGATCTCTTGTACTAGAGAACTGAATCATATTAATCTTGACCTTCTCACTGTAAATGAAACTAAAATACCAAAGGAAGTTGTAACAAAATGGAAGAAAGGGTTCACAGGTTCGCCTTAGAAAGCAAACAAAGGAGATGGCAGAGTAGGTTTTATCGTGTGCCCAAAGGCATCATTTCATGGGATACCTGATCACTTCAGATTATAGTGTTTAGATACTCATTTTCAAAAAGACCACTATGAAGATAATTGGAGATTATGCATCACTAGTAGGTGCAGAGTATAAGAGGCAGAGAAATTCTATAAAGAATTGGATAAGATACTCAAAATTAGTCAAAAGATACTGTAATTGTTGGTTACTTATATGAGACATAAAAGAGGCAAAGGCTTGTAGACTACATATATCATTAATATTTTATTCAAAAAATAGTTGGAAGGTGCTAAGCACAGCAAATGCCAAGGACCATCATGAAAAATGAAACCGATTATATTATTACAGGAATCAATCATGTGGTATACCAATGGTGGTGTCATTTCCAAGTCTGCTATTTATATGCATTTGGACCATCAGCTTGTTGAAATAAAGATAAAAATTGATACAAATAAGACTAAAGAATAACTCCAATCTGACCTATTTAAACAAACTATTGATGTAGAAAAATGGATAAAAGGACATAGAGCAATATAGACTATTATCACTTCCTAGAGAATTTTAACCAAGACAAATCGACAGAACAGCGAGAAGAACAAAACAGCTTAGACAACTCATCATCCATGAAGTATGTGATCTTGCTAAATGGAGGGGTATGGCAGCAGCAGGCCTTCACTGGGGCAGATGCATATGAAGCATGTTCTAGGCCCAGATATATGTTAAAGGATTAGAAAGTTTGCATTCACTTACTAATCAGGACAGCTCAAACTTAAATAAAAAACCAGCAGCAGATAAAAAAGAATTCCTACAAAAGTGGAAAATAAAGAAATTATCCTAAGTTTTGCTTCTTTAATGACTGTTTCAAATTCAATAGACATTTGAAGTGGCTAGTGAGTTTTTAAAAAGCCTTATTCTAGACACTGAGGGAGAAATCTAATGTTTAGATAAGGCACAATCCTTATAGGTAATTCAATTCAACAAACATTTATTAATGATTTACTATACACAGAGTTCTATACATAGTATAGGGTGCTAAGGAAGACACAAAGATCTGATCAGACATAGTCCCTGTCCCCACAGAGATCATGGAACACAGCAGAATGCTTGGCAGACTTCATCCTCATAGAGATCAGAGCCCAGTGAGTCTTCTGCTCTGTTTCCATGGCTGAACTCATGACCTAAATTAAGGTGGCAGCCAAGGGGTTATGTTCAGCACCTCCTGCTCCAAGCCTTTACTGTGTGAACTTCTGTTAGAATAGAATACGGTGGACAAAGCACAATTACCCATACCTGTAATTCCTGCTACCAGAGGAGGTAAGGCTGGCAGATCACTTGAGCAACTGAGTTCTGAGTTTCTGCAGAGCTAAACTCAATCAACTGTCCACACTATGTCTGGCACAAGTATAGTGAGCTTCTAGGAAAGAAGAGCAACCAGGCTGTCTAAGGAGGGGTGAACTGGCCCAGATTGGAGAAACAGCAGGTTAAAACTTCTATGTTGATTGAGATTGGGAGGAGGAAGAGTGGGAAAAGTTGAAGAAGCAGAAGGAGGAGAGGAAGGGAGGGAGGAAAGAAAAAGGGAAAAAGAAGGTAAGGGAAAGGGAAGGGAAGGGAAGGGAAGGGAAGGGAAGGGAAGGGAAGGGAAGGGAAGGGAAGGGAAGGGAAGGGAAGGGAAGGGAAGGGAAGGGAAGGGAAGGAAGGGAAGGGAAGGGAAGGGAAGGGAAGGGAAGGAGAAAG